TTCTCCGAATGAAAAATTAAAGTGTAAATTAATAAATCACCTAAAAATAAAAAAATAAAATAATTGATATCGGACTACTACTATGTGATGTTACAACTGTATTGCAGGTTTATTTTATTTTATAAGTCAGGAACATTATGGCCACGGTAGAAGTCTAGATTGCAGTTTGAAGAATAATTTGGATTTCTGAATTTGTTTACACAAAATGAAAAAAAATCTTGGTGTGGTGTGACACGCCATACATATTTGATATATTTTTTTTATTTATGATGTTCACAACTGTATTATTAAATAAAATATATTTAGTAAATTTTTGATATATTAAACCTATAGAGCGAAAAAAGACAATGGCATTCTTAATAGGCTCCAATCACCTCCTTAAAACTGTTCCTAATATTCCAACTCTTTACATGATAATTCCATCAAATTTTATCCCTCTATCAAAAACCTTTAAATAATCCTTGATCAAACTATTTCCTGGAAAATCCATTTATCCAATATCTCCTCCTAACCATTTCCACTTTAAAGCGTTTAAATTGGTCCCGTCGCCTATTTCCCCTTGACCCGTAGGCTCCTAATAATTTCCTTAATTTTTCCCCACTTTGACTATTGCTGTACGGTATATGAGGGCATCTTTGAGGATCTCGAGGTGAAACTAAAACTTTTCATAAATCGCTTTTTACGATTCATCTTCGGGATCCCAAGGGACACCTCTGTTTCTCGTTTTTTATGCTGAGTTGAAGTGGCATTATCCTTCTAAGGTCCTAAGTATTTCCTGGCGTCCTTCCTCTTTAAAGCCATCCAATCCGACATCTCCAACAAACATCTCCGAGCTCCTTTTATTCAAATCTTGTGTTTGTTCACGTAATAGTCGTTCCCGGTCTTCTGATTTATACACAAGGGCCCACCGAACCGCTGCTTTCGACAGATCGTTCATTATCCGTTCCTCATCTCTATAGAACTCCATCCCTTCCTACATCCGTCAACCCTTCCTACCTTTAAATCCCGCCTGTTCAATCATTTCTTATCCATCCAGTCCCCATAAAATTGTAAATAGATACTGCTGTAAATATGTATATAAATTATTAGATCGTTCTTCATTATTTTTAGTTCACGTTTATATTCATTTTTTTATTATTAACTTATTTTAGTTAGAAAGTAACTTATAATTTTTTTATTATGACTATTTTATTACTCCTTTATTTTTGTCTATGTATCTCTGAGGTTCCTTAGCCCACATTTCTGTCTTTCTGTATTATTCTAAAAGGACACGTTCCAGAATAAATAAATTATTATTATTATATATGCTAAAGATAAATATTAAGACATACTATTTGAAAATAATTAACAGTTGTGTAATAATTTGCAGCCTTTTTTTTCCGAATCTCGTACAACCGATATCATCTGCAATTACAAATATTATGAATTAATCTTCCTAAATAATAATAATAATAATAAGGCTTAGCGAACCCGAAGGTTCGATGCCGACACCACCAATCGCTTGTTACACACCTCCCTCCACCGTTCGCCGTCCAAACCCAGTCCCTTCAGATCGGCTTTAATGCAATCTTCCTACCTTCGCTTCGGTCTACCCCTCGGACGATTACCATTCGGCACAGCAAATATTAACCTTTTAGGAATCCTCTCGTTACTAAGCACAACAACTTTACAAGCCCATTTGATTCGCCTCGATGAAATTACCTCAATTATATTACCCGGATACAGTCACGCAATTCGGCGTTGTGTAACCGTCTGAACTCTCCGGTTAACTCATCCTTCTTCGGTCCGAATATTCTACGCAATACTTTATTTTCAAAAACCTTAAGACGCTGCTCATCCCTTAATGTAAGCGGCCAAGTTTCGCATCCATAAAGATAATTTCGTAAGATAGTTTAAAGATAAAGATAGTTTCGCATCCTGTAGGCAAGATAATTGTTTTATAGATTCTAATTTTTAATTTTCGGGACAAGAGGCGCGAACTAAGTAGTTTTGTAACAGAAAAATAACAAGCATTCCCCGCCTTCAGTCTAACCTTAATCTCTTCTTCAATTTCGTTTTTTCTAGTTATCGTAGAACCTAGATACCTAAATTTATCTACCTGTTCAAACATATTACCATCTATATCGATATCACCAGTAGTATCGCCATTTTTGCAGCTAACCATATATTTTGTTTTATCCACGTTTATTTCGAGTCCTAGTTCTTTACCGGCTTTCATTAACGTTGTCGTATTTAGTTTTATAGTTTCAACGTCTTCGCTTAACAGTACCAGATCATCAGCATAGCCCCAGCACGGATGTTGTCCCGCCCAGATCCAACCCTTTCTCGGTTCGCATTACCTCCCTAATGGCATGTTCTAATGCCAAATTGAACAGGACAGGCGAAAGAGAATCCCCCTGTTTTAAGCCCGAACGAACCTCAAATTTTTCGGACAAATTATTACCGATTCTAACTTTATTTAGTGTCTCCGTCAAGCACATCCTGACTAGATTTACTAGTTTTTTTGGAATCCCCTGCTCGATTAGAATATTATACAGTTTCTGGCGGTCAATAGAATCGTAAGCCTTTTTAAAATCTATATACAGCTGGTGAACAACACCGTTATAATCCAATTTTTTCTCTAATATTTGCCGTAAAGAAAATATTTGATCAATAGTCGAACGATTCCGTCTAAATCCGCATTGGTAGTCTCCGATAATTTCCTCGACATATTCCGTGATTCGACTGGTTAAGATCAAAGTGAATAATCTTCCTAAAGAGTTGTTTAAATAAACAATGGTTATTATACTAGTAAAAGTAGCTGCTAACAAGATCACTTGACAAAAGCCTTGTACAATAAATTATAGTAAGGTATATTGATTTAGGAATCCCCATAAGCCATAAGGTGTACAAATACTGACTTAAGATTTTTTCGATCAAATTTTTTCTTGACTAAACATCCATAAAAAATGGAGAGCTATAAAACATAATCTTTACTCTAGGTATTTATATTTATTAATCTTAATATTTATATAGTATCATTTATCTTTACTCTAGGTATTTACTTAATGTATTGCAAATGATTCAATGTTATGTTCTAACATCAGCGTTAGAAAAATAAATAAATAATATTAATAATAATAATAAAAGAAGAAAAAAGTTTATAGAAAGAGCTATGGAATATGAGTCAATTTCAAGTTGCGAAGTTTAGATAAGATCTATAAAGTTGGAAAGAGGTTCTGGGAAGTATACTTGTAACTTTGTAAGTACACCATTGTCTTCTTTTTTTATAAAAATGTATCCATTGTGCAACTTCCCATGGCATTCGATTTTTACTTGAAAAATAAAAAAATTCGTAAAAATAAAGACATTGATAAAATTCTATACTCATTCCTAATTGTCATTTAAAATGAAAGAAAAGACGTAATTTACTTAAAGTATGCATATTTTTTTTTTGATGTTTTGTTCCGACGCTAGTAGCATTAAATAAAAAGTTAATAAATGAAATTTTGAAAAAAAACTTAGGATAAATAAGTTGAGTTAAATAAGTCGTTCTACAAGAATAAAATACTCTCATTTTCGCCTTGCTAATAATTAATTTTTAATTGAATTATTTTGAAAACACTTCAGTATCAGTATGTATCAATTATAATGATTGTTCTAAATATGTAGCATTCTATATACAACATAGTGTGTACAATTGATATCCGTAAAATAACATTGTAAAATAAAAAAATTAAACAAATGCTGAGGAGAGAACCCTTGATGAAAAAATAATGAAAATACTTAATTAAAAAGCTAGAGGATATCTTAATTAACATGGTACTCTTAAAGTTGAGGATTCTTCCTCTTCTAAAAAATGTAATTATCAAGGCTCATTACAGACAATGAAATGTCTTGTATTTTTGGTTTTAATAAATATATTTTTCAGATGTTAAATATAACAACTTCGAATAAATTAATAATAATAATATTCTTGGTATTTAAAATCAACAAATAAATTTAAACTTGAATTTTTAAAATTGAAGCAATCGTGAATGATATATTTATTTTTTTTTAATTTCATTATGTAAAGTTTGCAGCTATCACACACTGCTGTAACTTTTTTTTTAATGTCATTATATATAAGAAATGGTATGCTAATAATGAACAAAATTATTTGATCGTCAAGGTAAAATGTAATTCCTTATTGCAAACCACTAGATCAGACATATAGACAATTTTTTTTTAATTGCCGTCCTGGTACACTCCATTATATTTTTCAATTTGTTTATTTTGTTGAAAATAAGTTTAAAAAAATGAGAAGAATTCGTTAAATTATTAACCAATATCACGTCGGGGTCATTCTTGTTGGGATATCGGTTAATTCTTCTTCTTCCATCGCTTTGGTCCATGAAGGATCTTGGACTTCTCAATAATTTTACTTCGGTCAAACAGATTCCCTGCCGCTTGTCTCAACGTGTTATACCCAGTGACTTCAGATCTTCCTCTATATCGTCCGGCCTATCCTTGGCTAATAAGTAAAATAAATATGAAGGATCCCGAACTAAAAAATAAACATTATTCAATACTGTGTAAAAATAAATGAAAAACAAATAAAATTCTTCTTAGAAATAAATTAAAATAGTCCAAAATAAATTAATAATCTTTGTTAATTTAGTTAAATTAATAAACTTTTTGACAGTTACATCACTGGCCTGACTGCCTTGACTCAATCTCTTTAGCCCAGAATATAAACCGTACCTGACTTATAAAAAAAAGTTCAAACCAAGTTAAACTGTATGTAGGCAATGACAACTCGCTGAAGTCTTCCACATTGCAGTCCCAATCCATGAAGGCGATCGGCGAAGTCTTAATAATGTTCATATATCTTTGATTAGCCGTAACCCAATCAACTGTATTCATTCACTTCTCTATCTCTCCTAACATGTCTATTCGATAGGCATACAGATTATGAATATTGTGAGGAGGAAATCTGGATAGAATATAGCCCGCTACAACTTTATTCTTTTATGTTACAGCTCGAATCGGAAGCAGGCAGTTGCAGCGACTCAAGCCGGAAGAACGAGCGGCCTGCATCAGGACCCTGGCAGATCTGTTGATTTCCAGGCAAAACGAAATCCTCTCGGCCAACGCCAAAGATCTGCAGGAGGCTGTCAAAGCCAACACACCTCAACCGCTCATCAATAGGCTCTCCCTCAGCCCTTCCAAGCTCAAGTCGCTTGCTGCTGGTAAGTACCGCCATATAAGTATCTATTTAAGCCATACATTGATTTATACGGCGTTTGACAAGTTTCCAAAAAATACACTCTGATTATTATGAACTTTGCAATTAAAGTTTAATATTATAGCATATTAAGGAGAAGTAATAAAATAAGTTAATGACAAGAGAAATAAGTCGACTAAAGATATGAAAAATAATCAAAGAAGCATCAGACGGTGCAGAGAGGGGAGATCGTTTAAGAGAAATTCAACAAATATTTATGAGGAGATTGAAAAGGTTTGCAAAAACTCGCATCACAAAATACTCGAATTATTATTTAATTTACAATTAAATTTTAAATTAAATTAGTAAATTAACTAAAATAAATATTATCATATTTAAGTAGAAGTAATAAAATTATATAAACGGAAGAAAAAAACAGTGAACTAAACAGAAAAGAACGGGTGGAGGGATAGGGGAAGTTAATTTTTAAGAAGCATCAGAAGGTGCAGAGGTAGTGTAAGTGGAAGACCATTAGTGTTGCCCAAAATTGGTCTTGGTCTCGCACTTTGTAAGACCAAGGCTGCCTAACTGTTGCAAGACCAAGATCCAGGACTGGTAAAAAAAAATCAATTTTTTGAATAAAATTTAAGGCAAAATATTTTCTAATACTCGACAATCTTAGTCACTATATGTAAATAATTGTTATAACCAATATACTTTTGCATTCAATTTCTCTAATTTTTCATTCGGGCTTATATGATAGGATTCAACTATCTAAAAAATGACAGTAATACGATAATAAGTAACTGCAAGACTGTTGCGAAACTCTTGCTCAAGACCAACACCATGACCAAGACTTTGTTTGCAAGACCAAGACTCGGTCTCGCCTTTGGGCAACACTAAAGACCATTGAAATCTTCATGGTGCACTCAACAGGTCTGCACCCAGGAATCGTCCAAGACAAGCCTGGGGAAGAAGGAGCCGGTATTACCTCTACCAGAAGCTGGTTGAGTTCTCTCACTGTCGCGTCTAAAACGCTTCTCGAAATCTGATTTATTGAAGCAGGCAGACAGAATGCGCCCTGCAACCTTTTACATTGTAACTTTACAAATTCTTTCTTTAGATCATCAGGAGCCACAGATTCCAGAAATTTCTTAGGCATATCCGATAATCTTTTATTCCCAATCAGCCTAACATATTTATACATGACGTGGTGTGATATCCCCTTTTGGTGCAGAACACGAAACGGATAGCTGTGTTAAGAGCAATCTTGATTCTGGCGTCTTTATATATCGATTTATGAATGAGTAGAATGAGTCACAATATGACACCAAAGAGATGTTTGAGGGAGATAAAGTTTAAAATTACCAGAAATTGGATATAATTATGATGTACATATTTTTTTAGATATTTCCCTGATATGTTAAGTTTTAAATACGGATTATAAAACACGCGTTGCTCGGAAACCAGATGATTGATAAACCGAATTTTACAAGATATAATACGAGTTCGCATTCGGGTGCCGATGGGGCTTCTTAACTCTTAAATTAATTCTCCACCCTCTCCCTCGGCCCGGAAAAATCTTCGTATAGCCTAAATGTCAAAAATATAAAAAAAAAATTGTAGGATGATTTCGAATAAATTTGCTAATTACTCGTTAGCTATTTGATCGAGAATGAAATTTATTTTTAATTTTTCCTACCATGGGTAAGATTTTTAATGAAACAATTTGAATCTGTTTATCCTCATACTGTGATAAAGCCCAGATAAGCTTTATACAAGAGTATCTAGATATATTGTACGTTGTCGCCTATTGTAGGATAAAATAACAATAGGCTACCCCTGGCTATCCATGAATATTCATCTCCACTTATAACATTCACTGGAGTCGTGCAGAGTTTCATCCCCCTTATTTTTCGGAAACAATTGTTCCACCGGGGTCTTCGTATTCTCTCTGCATCCTCCCAAATATTGTTCCGACCAGGAATGTCAATACGACGAATTGAACGAATAGGATATATATTTCCCTCCTTCCAATTCTTATGACATAATAGTAGATTTATATTCACGCTTCTTCTACAGAATAGCATTCATTTCCTTGTACAAACCAATAAAAAACAATATAAAAAAAATGGTGCTTTGAATTTTTGAATTAAATTGTGATTAGCAGTCATTTCGAGACGGTCCCTGTAATAGAGGGGTAATAATATCTGAACTGTCACTGAATATTAAACAGTTCTATTTAGTCTTGGAGTGAGTTGAATACTTAGTGTAAGATGTTTCTATATTATTAGTAACCGTTAACTTTAATTATTCTCATTGTAGTTAATTATTCATATTAATTAGTCACGCCTAAGAGGTATAATAAATCAGATTACTTAAAAATCAGATTGATTTTTTAGAACTGTAATTCACTAGGAAATCAAGGATATATAAAAAAAATTAATGTATAAAAAGTTGGTTGGCGCTTACCGTCAGCGAATTACACGAAAAATTATTACTAATTTATAGTGTATCTTACATGAGTTTGCCTATAAGGGAAGGGAGTTCGTACAGCCCTCCCACACTCTAGTTTCATCTCCCCAATACTCCCAGCCTCTGTTTTCATGAATTTATATAAGTTCATCAGGGTTGCCCAGAAGGTCGTTTATGGTGCCATCAAAATTTTTGAGAGGACCATATTTTGACGGAGTTTTGAATTTTTGCGGGGAGGGGGGCGTATATCAATGAATTTTCGGAATGCAAGATTTTAGAATAAGGAGAAAGAATAAAATGTGAAATAGACATCAGCAAGTATAATTGTGTATGATCTACGGTTTTTCCATATTCTGACGTCGATTGCTTAGTTTTTAAGAAGAGTTGAGAAATAAAATATCTTGGGAAGAGGGGAGGTAGGTTGTTGTCTGAGAATGGATAATTTTCCCTCTACCCAGTTTACTTGGGTAGAAGGAATTTATTTACCTCCGTAAACGAAAATTGGTAAAAGCAATTTAAAAAGAAAATTATAATAAAATAAATTACTGATTGTAGAAACAAATGAATTGAATAAATACACTTACCTACTCAAACCCATCTGTACATACGCCTCTGAGGTTTACGGTTCTTGAAAAAAAGAAGCACTTACAAAAACTACAGTCATTTCACTACACTCTATGTACACATATTTATGCAGGATATAAAGGGTTAATTGCACAAAATAAATAAAACAATATAAAGAAAACAGAAAAAGAAAAATCCCCGAAAAGTGAAAAAAAAATTATTTTTTTTCAAATAAATTATTTTGTCATTTCTTCACTGATTAACATACTATACGATTTATTAGTAGTATTTATTATTTAAACAATTTTTGTCCTTCTATTGAAAATATGTTAATTTATTGATAATATTTATATTATCTGTTTTTTTTTTTTTAACTTATTTATGAAAAGCGTGAATTCTATCTATGTATAAATGAATATAATACGAAAATATCATGTTACTACCAAGAAGTCCGTCATTCTAATATCGTCTCATCCCACATTCTTCATATCAATAGCATTCGTAAAAAGAGGTAAAACAGCGCAAAAAAAGAAAAGAAAAAAAATTCAGACCCTTAAAGAGCCCAGTAAATCTTTCCTGACAGACAGCCGATATTCGAGGCTTTCCATCACTCACGCAATATGTTTCGCTGATGCTTGTGATATCGTTTGACAAATATGGAGACATAGTGGCCATGTTTGTCGTCTGCACCAGGACATCCATGATAATTGATCAAGAGAAAATCTCGGATTTTTATAGGATTAGATATTTTGTTAGCATGTTACATTTTTTAACAGCCGACCAAATATCATTGCGAATCAGAGGACTAAGATGCAATAAGCCAAATTTTATTTGTATATTTTATAATAAATGCATATGATTTCATATTTTGATAGATTCAATTAAGTAAAACGAAAACAAAAAAAACAAGTGTATGGAACATCGGAGATGAGATTCCCTATAAAATCGTCGGTTTACTTTAAATAAATAAATAAACGAAATACCATTACCTTCAATAAAGAGCTATTATAAAGTTTCGATATTTCTGCTTCATTTACGTGGTCTTACTCTGATATAGTGTAGTTGAAATGATTTTGAAATATTATGATAGTGCTAAAACGTACTTGGATTAATTTGAAAACAATTGTAAGTACATTTGTATAAGGATATAGCGTTTGTTTCCTGAACTTAGCCAAAACACAATTTGGACCACTTTCCTACTTCTCTTGCTAATAATTAATCAGTCCTGGAAGTGATTAACGATTTATTTTTATTGGAAATTTGTCGATGAGGGGGTAAGGTTCTTTTGCCACGGATATATGAGATTAATGTAACATCAATAACTCTTACGTAATTACCTTTGGGTACCACCAGAAGGCAATTACATGTCACTCAACTCACGACGAGCCTCAATCGATACCTTGGCCAATCTTAATTGTAATACGGTGATTCCTCATACTTTACGTTGCAGTCACGCAACCTAACAATAATTTTAAGATAAAAATTGTTAAATATTTATGATCAAAATTTCTTTATCATATTGTTTTTTTGTTTTTTGCGATATTTCTTATATACTTCTTGCGATATTTAGGGATCTTCAGATTGTTTTTTCTTTTTCCTGTTGCCATTTCAGACCATTTAGAACTTTTGCCGCTTTAACAAGCCTGCTCCATCTCTGCCTGTTATGGGCTATTACCTTCCATTACCTGCACGCAGCTCTACTGTATCTCCGTAGATTCTATCTATCCATCTGGTTTTGGTCTTTCACGTGGTCTTTTGCCTTCTTTTCAGGCATTCATTGTTGCTCAGAGGCTTCCAGATGGCTTGCTACGAACCACATGCCCCGCATATCTTAACTTCCGTGCCTTCGTACCATTTGATATTAATTGACCAGTTTCTGTAGGCAGTTCTTTATTGGTCTTTCTTCTCCATGTGTTAGTACTATGATCCCAGATCGTTACGGTTATCGTGCGGAGGATTTTTCTCTCAAATCTTTCAATACTTTTTTCTGAGGTACTGGTTAGTGTCCAGGTCTCACAGGCATATATTAGAACTGGCTTTATCATAGCAAATTGTACACACTTAATTTGAGATTTTTCGGGATTTCAATACCTTTGAAAGGCAGAAGAAAGCACTGAATGCGCTAATAATATGCTATCAGAACTACTATACTTTTATATATCTAAACACACACGAACATATATGTAATTTATATGCATTGCACCACCTTGGTCATTTTCTCTCTCTATCACAAATGTGTAGAAGTTACAATTTTATAAAATTTAGAAGTGCACATGTATGCAAATTTATATTTAAGAATAATGACATAATGTAAAATTGTCTCAAAGTTAAAAATAAATTCCATTCTCACGAAATCTGAACATTCTGAAGGCGTCCGAATACGTAATCAATAACAATATTGCAAAATCAGTTATTGCGACGGAATTCTGATTATTTATTAAGGTGCTATACAATGTATGAACCAATTGATTCTATATTCATTATACCAAAAAATGCAAGTCATGACTTGATAATATATCAAAATGATCAGAGAATAGAACTCTGTCATGGGTCCCTTCATATATGGTCATAACTGGCAAAGAACGAGCTAATGAAGAAGCCAAATAAGTATTCAGAAGCTTTGATTTACCTAATTTAGGATCGACGTTTTTCAAAGTTATAAACTTTAGAAATTAAAAGAAAAGTGTACATAAATTGCAACGAACCGAGTTAACGACTATTTAACCTGTGTAGAGAGGGCAATCAAGGTGCCTCCGAAAAACCTAACATTAAATGAATGTTCCATAATTATCTGCCTAAAAATTGGACGCCAAGCTGACCCATATTCACCACTTTAGTCTTCGGTGTAATAGTCTAAATTATATGAAAAAACATGGACATGGAGCTCTTTACCTCCGGAACATTTATATATTGTTATTTAATAGTACACTGTATTAAATGCCAACATATAACATTGATGCATGCAAATCTAGAGTCACATTAAAAAGTCGAATGTGAATCGGGCTTGCGGATTCCTTGACCATACCAACTCCAGACCGCCAATATCCCAGGCAGTTTGTCTCATAAATATTTAATGAGGAAGCGGTGGGAATACAATATAGGTCCAGGTTGTGGGGGGAGGAGGAGGAGGGACTATCTAATCCAGCGTATTGTGCTCTCTTCTTGATATTCTCCGCGCCTGACAGATGACCCATTGTTGGAGGCAGGCTCCTAATACCGATCGTTAGCTATAGTTAGATTACGCCGCCTACACAATCGCTCTAGGCTTCTTGGCACATTAGCATTTGTCAGCTCGAGTTGGCTCTATTGAACGGATTCCAACATTCTGTCCAGGAATCTTGTCGAGTGTATATTTGAAATTATAAGGAATGCCGAGTTGCTAAAAATTTAAACTATAAACGAAGGAGATGGTCCGGGGTGGCGGTCATAAATAGGCTGAATTGTATCAAAACAATTTTATTAAAAGCCTTTTAATAAAACAGTCTTGCCACTATTCAGCCTATTTATGGCCGCCACACCGGATCATCTCCTTCCTTTATAATGCAACGGTCAAATATTAAATATTGAATTAAACTATAAACGGACCTTCAGTTTCTAAAGAATGGTAACGCCTGTTTATAGATATATTATCACAATTAATATGCCGTAACGTTGCACAGTAGACGGTCTATAAAAGTCTGGGGGAGAAATATGGTCAGATAAAAATGACATGCCACACATGGAGAAAAATAGAACCAGTATTACCTCTTTCCTGGTTTCAATTATCATGATTTGATAAAGATAGAGGTTTCTCATCCAACACCTTTTTAGTATCCTCCAATTATTGATGGGCATGTTAGCTGAAGCCTGTCTCATCTCTAGTAATGTCTCTTAATAGTATGTCCGTTTAAATCAGTATGAAATCGTTACTAAAGACTCCTTATGGATCGAACTACTATTGGCTGAATTAAGTCAGTATGTATGATTTTGTTGATCATCCCAGGAATATACTTACACATCTTAAATACTTAATTTATATTTCCTACGACTTTTCGTTTTTGAGCTAGACTGTTCACACCCACAGACCATTTTGCGAAACTTGTTTCTTTTTCTTTATTCAGAGGTTCTCAAAACGTGTATTTCCGTTGGAAACTCGGAACTCGGATTCAATTTTTTTAATAAACGCAATACCCGTTATTAATATATATATATATATATATATATATATATATATATATATATATATATATATTAATAACGGGTATTGCGTTTATTAAAAAATTTGAATCCGAGTTCCGATATATATATATATATATATATATATATATATATATATATATATATATATATATATATATATATATATATATATATATATATATATAGTTCATATTTAGATAAGCGAAAGCAAAGATCGCACAGAAGGAAATAGTAAGTCACAGCTTTGGTAGGACATAGTTCCTGTTTCTGATTATTTATGAGGTTTTGCTTTTGTTGATGTCCCATGAAGAAGCCAATTGTTCAATGTCCCTTCTTGTATAATTTTCATAGATCACATGAACTACTAAAGAATGAACACTGTGTTTAACCATTTACTCAAAAGGTTTAGAGTACAGTCAATAGGTTGGATTTATCATAATATGCATCGATTTATCTCAATAAGTTTGCCACAATTTTACTCCTCCTATGCTTACATTAATTTAATTTATCTAAAGTTCTAATGATATATCAACATAAAAACTATATGACAAAATATTTTCGAATATTGTAACAAATAAAAATTTTATAAAGTTAACTATCTTGACAAACACTTGAAGTGAATCTAAAGAATGGAAGGAATGATATTTCTCTCTATTATATATAAAAGTTTGTTATTAAAACTTTCATTAACCGTGTCATATTCTATTTTACATATACATAGTTGGACAGACCGTAACGAAGACACCACACTTGTTATTCCCATAATTGTTTTTCACTTGTTATGGTTGCAAATTGGCCGTAAGAATAATTATAATCATATAATAATATAAATATGAAATGAGAGGATATAGATTCTAAATAAATAAAAAATGTTTCCCTACTGTAGTTTCGTTCCGTTGATAAAAAATAATACAATTTGAACCTCAAAATACATGTTAATTGTGTTTTTTTTTGGAAGTGGGGGAGTATTCTCCTCCCTCGCCTTTAAAGCTAACGGGGTTTTTCCGGGTTAGGGGGTGAGAGCGGGGATTTAAAATACTCCCCCGGCACCGGGCGCGAACTCGAGAATATTTTTATCCAGTTATCTAAGTATTAGGTTGCCGGGCAATAACAGTGCTGTGCTCACACATTAGTCCGTTCGGCCACCCCGAATACATGTTAAGTGCAGTTATACCAAACTCGGTCTTGGTCTTGCACTTTGCAACACCAAGACCAAGGCCGCCTAGTTGTTGCAAGATGAAAACCAGGACTGGTAAACAAAAATCGATTTTTTAAATAAAAATTAAGGCAAAATACAATTTGAGCAAACAATGGTACAATAAAATGAACAGTTGTGTAATTTGTAAAGGGGTTGATCCGCCGTTAGATTGATTCCCTCTAGTATACAATGAGCTTTCGTCGTATGAACAAATATTTGCAACTTGAAATTTTATAAGAGTGATATAATAATCTGTGAATATGCCCAATGTATCCTGATGTACGATTAATGAATTTCTTCTCTTCTACTTGTATAATATATTAAATAATGATTTATTTTCAGGTCTAAACCAGATAGCTGAGACCAGCTTAACCAACGTCGGCAGGGTCATTAGGCGTACTCGACTTGCCAACGGGCTCGACTTGACACAGATCACCGTTCCCATCGGAGTCCTCCTAGTAATCTTCGAGTCAAGGCCTGACTGTTTACCTCAGGTAATTAGTAAATTTAATTAGTGTCGAATCAACTTATTTCGAACCGTGTTCCTAAATGAAACAAGGATCGAATATAATGAATGAAAGGAACGATTGCCACTCAATCAATGGTCTGAATAGCTGGAGCTCTTGAGCCGGATTATCAAAATCTGAAGGATCTCCCTTAGTAATTGCCAATAGCAACGTTCCTAGTGTACTACCTCCCTACGCCCAATTTAACTATAGAGTGATCACGTTCACCGCAGTCCCTCATTAGATACTTGAAATGAACATGATTTTAATCAATTTAGTTAGCATTATTGCTACACTATAGAACAATATATTTTGAAATAATCCTTATATATTGAGAATAAAAATAATATTAATATATAAATTGCCTCTTGTGAGTAAAAGAAATTAATTAAAGAGATGATAGTGGGCATTAGAAGCTACAAAAACCATATAAATCATGGTCCAATTTTCCTCAGAAATTTAGGTTTTATTTTAAGTAGGTCACGTTTATTTAGGTCAATTATTTAGGTAATTTATCATTGATTTACTATAAACTAAATTAAATTACTTTTCTTTGTTGAATCCATTCAAAGGGAACTTACTTTTAAACGGCCAAATTAAGCTTTTTTTAAAAAATCATGGGTTATCCGCGATTTTTGTGTTTTTCATCCTCCATCTGGACTACAGATACCAAAAATTGGGTATCCTTAATTAAATAATTAATTAAGGGCGAAAACCTGGCGGTTGAGGGTGATCTCGGTCAAATTAACTACTTGCACAACCGCTGACCTAGAAACAGTGCTTTCCTTAAATAGTAATGAACACCAGACCCTTCATGGGTTGTAGTGGTACAGGTTTTTTTTTTTTTTTCAAAGTTTGTATTTTTCTTAATACTTTTCTTTTTGTGCCATCTTTCCTGTGATGTTTTCCATTTTTTTCATCAACTTTTCTTGTATTTCTTATAATATCCCTTCCCCATAATTTTGCCACACTGATGGGCATAATGGCTGAACTTTGTTAATATTCTTAGGGGAATTCAGTCCCAGAATAAAATAATATTTTTAGTTTATTTTCATTCACCATTTCCTCATCGTAAAATCCTCTGGTTGAATTTCACGTTTGTTATTTTTATGTTCTGTGTTTTCTAAAACACATGAAAAAATAGACAATTTCTGGATATTAAACCATAAATTTAAAATACTTTTCAATGCTCACCTAAAAGGGAAGAATATTGGACTTGAACTTAGTTTAGGGCCTCACTGTTTCCTAACGCTTGCAAAGTGGATTACGTTTTTATACTTCCAATAGCGAGGCCCAAGGCTCTCAACTCGCCTGAGAAAATATCCGCTCTGATAAAAAGAAAACAGTAAAGTGAGAATCTCCTCTCCGGCATCTTTCGATTAGTTACTTCTTTTTGAACTGGGATATGCATTACATCTTAATGTTTATTATTAAAGGGAATATTTTATAAATACGCTTATAGAATTTTCATACCTCGATGGAAAATAAATGTGGTAGAATATCAAACGCCAAGACATTTATAATAAAAAAATAAACATTATGATCTCAAAATTCTGTCTTATATATTTAAGTACCTCAATTATAAATCCTGAGAACACCTCGGATAAGGAATTTTACACACTTTTTAAAAATTAGTATATTTAAAATATAAAAATATTGAATTTCTAGAATAAATAAAAATTAATGGATAGCAAACTAAGAAGTTCCTCCATTACAAATTTATTAATCAAACAAAAACGTAGAACATTAGATTAAATTTGCAAGAAATTTCTTTGCAATGAGCAAATTTGTTGGCAGCTTCACAGCTTCCCATCACGTCCGGGATACAAATCAGATCAGCAGGTCTCTTGACCAACGCCTACGTAATCGTATCGTTTACGAGCCCCACTATCGTAGTGGGCTGTACGAGTCAGGGGATTCATGTTGTACGTCAGTCTTTGGTGAAAGTTATTGTAGTTCTCTTTTGCAGTATCTAAAATTATAGGTACGTTTAAGTCTTTATATATCATTTGTGACATAAAACGGTGCGTCAACTATCCTTCGCAACACTTTTGACTGAAAGGACTGAACTTTTTTAATGTTGGAAGCTTTAGCAGAGCCCCACAGTTCTATGCAGTAAGTCCAAACAGGTTTAAGTTAAACTTTATAAAGGCTTAGTTTGTTAGTTGAAGATAATTTTGAACGTCTGTCAAGTAATCTAGATAAAAGACCGTCTGTTTAATTCTATTCGTTTTTGTCTGATGTGAGTCCTCTAAGTAAGTCTTTTGTCCAGGTAAAAACCTAAATACCTAATTACATCTGATGTTGGAATTTTAATCTTATTAAAATATATTTCAGGGAAAGGCTTATGGTTAAGAGTGAATACTACATGCACACTTTTTTTTCATTCATCATAATTTCCCACCTTGTTGCCCAATCTGCAATATCATTCAGATGATTTTGAGCATCTACCATTACAAATAACAATTATTTTCTAAGTTTTTTTTAATATAAAAAATGTATTTGTGCCTGTTATCTTTGTCAACAATCAGCAAATGTGCTCGAAATACAAGCTATAAATGAAATGTCAGGTATTGGGAAAGAATGTACTCAGCAGTACCTCTTCTCTGTCTTGGTTCAACTATTTATGTTGTTTAAGGAAGGAGATCTGTATTCCAACACCTTTTAAATCTCTTCATCATGTTCTGGGGTGTGTCAGCTGTGGTCATGTATCTGATTAATCTGTTGTGATGTTCGTTTAAATTAGTATTAAATCGTTGGTAAAGGGTCATTATATGTTGGTCAATTGGGGCTGGGTGGCCGAATGGCTAACGCGTGTGCCCGCAGCGCTATTTGCCCGGCAAACAAATCACCGAAGTTATGATGAGATTAAAAAAAATACAAGATCTCGTCGTGCTGCCGGAGATGATTTTAAAATTCCCCGCTCTCACCCTCCGACCAGGAAAACCACGTATAGCCTAAAAGGGCGAGGTAGGGAAGAACAAGAAATAAATAAAATAATATATATATATGTGTATATATATATGTATATATATATATATATATATGTATGTTGATCAACTGTTGGATGGTGAAAGTCAGTATGTAGAGTTTTGCTAGTCACGTACAATGGTGGTTTTGTTATGAGTCGCAATAATTATGATTGGAAGGTTTGAAGTTTTTGTAGGTGGGTCTTTTTATCGGTTCCAAATATTTGTGATGAGTATGTACATATGGATTTAAGTAAGTATGTATATGTATTCAGTTTTGAAGATTTAGAAAAAAGAGGGTAAAGTAATTTGAGTCATGTGTCTTACGTTTCATTTTTGCATGCGGGCTCCATGTCATCCTTCTGTCGAAGGTGAGTCCAAGTTAAAGTACCTTGTCCGTTTCAGGAATTTGATTGTTGTCTAATTTCAATGTAATTTGACAAGTGTTTTTTTTTTTTTTTTTTATAATATATTTCTGATTCACTGATATGTGTATATATGTATAGCTTAAAAAAAAAACTCTCTTAAAAAAATACATAAATCAAAACATTTTCTAACAAGTTTGACACAATATATTCACAGGTCGCTGCCTTAGCCCTGAGTTCAGCGAATGGACTTCTGCTGAAAGGTGGAAAAGAAGCATCACACAGCAATAGAGCACTGATGGAAGTAGTCAAAGAAGCTTTGGACTCCGTTGGTGTACCCAATGCCATATCTCTAGTGAGTACTTTATCTTTTTATATCTAGTAAATTCATCCATCTAATAATTTCTTTTTAATTTCTTTATCTGTATGAAAAGTTAATTTTATAGCTTTGATAAATAATTGTTCTGTGTTTAATGTCTCCAACAATATTGTGACTAGAAAAAAGAAAACTAAAAATTTGTATATCTCTCCTATTTGTAATTTTTAACTGCCATGATAATGTAAATTTTAAAGAAATGATAATAATAAGAACACCCTGTGAGTGATTTTACCTAAATGATTGCTTCCTTGATGCTGTTTATAGGCGTAAAATCCCCAGGTCATCAACGTCTTGACCTAAATACTATAGATAATAATATATATTATTTTTATATTATACCGCATATAAAGCTAATACAGTTAAAGTATGTTTAAAATAATAAAAAGTTATCTCTCCTGGAAGCATTATTGTCCCTGTCGTTGCAGATTTATTTTTTTATTTAATAGATTTTGGTTATTATTTTTCCCCCAAAATAAAATCTTGATCCCGCTAGTGCATAAGAACAGAACTTATTATTTCTAATAACATATGTTGTATTAATCTGAAGGACCTTGAGGTAACAGCTTAACTTTTTTCTTAGTTTATCCAGGATATTTCCTTATTAAACCTCCACTATACAGAGGAATTTTAAGGAGAACTCAAATCTTCCTTCATTTTACCTCCATGATATTAGATCCATTGCCTTGTGTATCCTGGACAATCCAAAAGCTGGCTTAGGTCCAGGATGGATACCCCATTGTCCAGCAACCGCCAAGTTCCTTATCCCATCCGTCTTATTGCCGACGCTCTGAATGGGCCGGTAATCTTAGCCTCTCAAAGCGTATGCTTTCTCCATAGCACAAGATGTATGTCTTGTTTTCAAATAGTAAAAGCGAAGTCTTCTGGAAATAACCAGCACTTTAAGGGTTTTTCACTCCACCCACTCCAGAGTGGACAGCAAATAACGGCCACTTGTTATTTTTAGAAAATGGATTTATGGACTTATTACTTTCCCAAAGCTTATATTTTTTAAAGATTTGTTTTATGAAGTTGAATAATGTGAACGGTTTCTTAATAATCTTAATAGTCAATAGTCTTCTAAGATTACGTTCTTATAAACAAGGTGAGTAGTGTTGCCCAAAATCGGTCTTGGTCTTGCTAAGTGCAACCACCAAGGGCGGCTAACTGTTGCAAGACCAAGACCAAGGCCGGCTAACTGTTGCAAGACCAAGACCAAGGCCGGCTAACTGTTGCAAGACCAAGACCAGGACTTGTAAAAAAAAACGATTTAAAAAAAAAAAATTAAGGCAATATAGTTACTAAACTTGACAATCTTAGTTACAATATGTTAATAATTGATATAACCAATATACTTTTCTATTTAACTCCTCCAATTTTTCATTAGGGCTAAGTTAGGTTTATCCTATCTAAAAAAATACATTAATATCTGTAATGATATTACTGACTGCAAGACTCTTGCAGAAGACCAAGACGATGACCAAGACTCGTCTGGGTCCCGCATTTGGGCAACACTAAAGTTAAGGAATGTTGTGCATATATATGTGTATGTATATATATATAGGTATAACTAGAGAGAGACAGAGAGAGAGAGAGAGATTTATTAAATAAATTATTACCTTATTAATATTATATATATATATATATATATATATATATATATATATATAATATTAATATATATATATATATATATATATATATATATATATATAATATTAATAAGGTAATAATTTATTTAATAAATCTCCCTCTCTCTCTCTGTCTCTCTCTCTCCCCCTATATATATATATATATATATATATATATATATATATATATATATATATACATATTTATTAAATTTATTATAAATTTAAGAGAGAGATTTATTAAATAAATTATAAATTATTACCTTTTTAATATATTGTACATAGGTATGAATGTGTTTAAGAAAATTATTTTATTTTAATTATTTTTATTTATTGACTTCTTTATTACTATTTATTTTAATATTTTTCTTAATATTTGCAGCCGTTTTTCTTTTTTGTATACATTGCATGAATGAACACTCTTAGCCTTAATACCTATTGCCCTACAAAATTGGCAGATTGTATAGATATTATTATTTATTAAATTAAAAAAAAAATCATTAAGGATCTTGGTAAATCATGAAGCTTCATCAATTGTGTGTGTTGAATAGTCTATCTTGATAATATCTAGTATATTGTATATACGAATACAACACTGATATCACAAATACGAAGAACGCATTAGGTAGAAGGATATCATACTATTGTAAGAGTTCTTGTTGAATTTTTCTAGTCAATTACTTATTGACATTTTGATGATTTCAGGTATCAACAAGAGAGGAGATCTCAGACCTGCTCAGTATGGAGAAACACATTGATCTCATTATCCCGAGAGGATCCAGCGAGCTGGTGAGGAGTATCCAAGAGCGCAGTCAGCACATCCCAGTTCTTGGACACGCTGAGGGCATCTGCCACGTTTACGTTGACAGCGATGCCGATCTACAGAAGGCGATGAAAATTGGTTAGTAAATAATCTCATTTATTAGATCAAATCAAGTTTTGATAGACGCTTCCTAGATTACCATCTATTTCATAAAAAAAAAATTTCAGTAGTTGAGGCATAGTGCTGATCACACTTCTATCTTGAATACCTTAAAATCTAGAATCGAACACCTATATCTAGGACGATATAGGCAATCACCAGTTTAAGATGTTTTTTTTTTTTTAAATTAATTCGTTTCTTTTTAAATTAAATGGTAAGATGATTTTTTGGTTGAAAATATGGATTAACAGAAGTAGGGTATCCTTAATGGTCGCTAAAAAGGAAGATCGAAAATTTTAATGAGACAAAAATAATCATTTTTTTCTCCCCTTCCTTGGCTTTCAGGCTACATAGTTTTCCCGGAGGAGGAGAGGAAGGCAAGAGATTACTAACAGAGTTAAAAGACTCCTCAGGTTTCGGGACGCGAACTCTTAGTTAATCTTTCATTTATAAATTCGGTTAACAGGTTTTGTACATGCGTTAGCCCCCTCGGCCAACCCATCCCCAAGAATGATAATGTACTTTATGAGATTCATCTTGGGGATTCCCAAGCGTTCACATGTTTTCCGCAAGTGCACCGAATTGAAGTGGCTCTATCCTAATTTCCGAAGTCAATGCCTTCTTGGTATTTTCCGTTTCCATGTCCTTAGAACCAAATATCCTCCTTAAATTCTAGATCTGTTTACTCTACATTTACTTATTATCTCCATACCAGATCACAATCTATAGATATAGATACAGGCCCTCTCATAAAACCGCTTCCTTCAGGAAATTTTTCGTCATTCATGCTACCTTCTTTTGAAACTTCCACAATTTCCTTCATACCACTCCTATTCGATCACCTACTTCATATTCAATTTTTCTCCTCCATGTAAGATTTGTTTAGATTTTCTAATCACTGTCGCTTATTAGCAGTAAATTTACAAGTGCCATTTTATTTTTATATTTTGTATAATTCCTTTATTTCTACATGCTAGGCTGATGTACACATTTCTCCAACTTTGTCGTTATTCTTAGGGGACTTAGATCCTAGAATAAAATTATTTTTCATTCATTTATTCAAAAATTAAATTAATTCCATTCTAGCAAATAAATCTTATCCGTCCATATAATCTAATAAAATATGTTTTCATTGTATTCTTGATTCCAATTCTCAGTACCTTTAGCAGAGAGATTAACCTTTAGTAGAGTTATGTGACCTAGATCCTAGCTCATGAAGTCCCTGTTGGCATCAGAACTAGTGAAACTCCCTCAGCCAATTAGTGGTTGTCTAGGGCTCTAGGATGAGTTGTATTGAAGCCAAGAGGATATACTTGTTTATAGCTAAATGTCAATTGCTTATTTCAACAAAAACAAAGTTAATATAGAATTTATTTTTTTAATATTAAAATGAAGAAAGTTACTGTTTCAATTTATATATTATATTACCTAGAAATTATATTATAATACACATACTAACTCTATAATCATAAGATATTAAAACTAAATCAATATTCCATAATCCTTCCATGAAAGTACTTCCAATATATTTTATTATTATATTTCGAGATTTTAAGGCTCGAGAACAGAGATAAAATAAGTAAATGGGATAAATATACTGACATTTTCAAAAATAATTTGAAAATTAATATAGAATTTTGTAAAGTATTAGATTACTAAAAACTTTGACAATGATAGTTGAAAAAAATTATGTTTTAAAATGCACCTCTTCGTTCTAAACAAATGTAATGTAATAAAATGATTACATATTTGCTCAGTTCTCCTTTTGTACATTTTATAAAATAAAAGGTATAACTACACATGCTCCCTCATTCTTTACTTGATATAGGATTCCTCCTCCATTTAGGCGGTGGTTACAGCCAGAGAGGAAAATTGAATCCATAGTCTGGAAGCCCGTTGAAACCCAAATGTTTTATTTGTCGCAAAATGTCTTAAGAAATCGAATTTATCTATAAAAAGTTCTATTAAAAAATCTATAAAAATTTATTTTTAAAAAGTGCCATAAACACTCTGGATAGCTGGTGGCACCAACCACAAGTGGCTGAATTTTAAGGACGGGAAGTTCAGAGCATACTTTTGTTAGCTTTTTTTTATTATTATTAAAAAAACACTTTATTCAGAAATATTACAATTTGTCACAGTTAAGGACACTTATAATAGAGTTCAGAGATTGCATTCATACCGTATATACAAAAATATAAATAAATAAAGTAATAACAAAAGAATAAGAAGAAAGAACAAAAGAGTAAAGAAAAAAAATATATATATACACATAAGTAAATAAAAATAGAAATAAAAGTAAAACAAACACCTTATATAAAACATACATTATTTACAATTTGCCAGGTGATCTCCGAACCAATCCTGTCCCCTCCACATGTGGAGGGAAAAGGGAGGCCTAGGAGAACTTTTGTTAGCTAAAGGAAAAAAATAGTTAAATATTTTTCATGATTTTGACCTTGATTCAGCCAATAATAGAGTTTAATTTTATGAGATATTACTTTTTTTTTCAAAAAATTACTACCTAAAATATTGTAAATGTTGATATTTTTTAGAGGGATTGCAAAAGGAAACAAGGGGCGGTAAAATTAAGCTTGCCCTCCCGGCAAAAATCCAAGCTCAGGTACTAATGCCTTAAGCTTCCTTGTCTTAAATTGATTAAAATTTGCATGTACCTATTTATTAAAATAGCATCAGAACTTTCTCCTCAATTATCTATGAAAGAAGGAAGTAGTGTCATGATCAGCATCCACAAATCTTGAGAGATATTTAATATAGAAGTGTCGGCATCCCCATAATTCTTGTTTTATTTATTGTATCTGGTTCTACGCATTCATCTGAATTGATCATAAGATTCTTATAGGCAACCGAATCATTCTTTATTTATTTTTTTGAAATAAGAATACATGTTTATTGTATCCTATTATTCTCCTTATAGGATGATTTGTCGAAACATATTAGTTTCGATCATTTAGTTAGTCATCAGCCGAATATAACCTGCAATACATCATCAAAAAATGTATAGAGGAGTACTCTAAATGGAGTCTGGTGATATAACAGTATATATGCCCTTCAACTCATCGAACGCATCCCTCAAAATAGAAGATTGGCATTTTTCATGGAACACAGAATTTCAGTATTTAGGAGAATAAATAAATGAAGAAAAAACTCTTGATTCAGATGTATTATCGCAGATATCTCTATTGCACTCAGGAGTCGATCCTATAGAATGAGAATATTTTTTTAAAAACGAAAAAAAATAATAATAAATATAAATATATATCATTCATTTATTATTAGGAAACGTCTAACAAGATGTCCAAACCTGAAAAATATAACATCAATAACGCAAGAATAGATACCCTACAGATGGATTTTCTAAGAAGAAGTTGTAGCATCTGAAGGTTACAGCATATATCATATCTATTATCTATTAGAAAAAATATAGGGCAGGAAAACAAAATAGTTTATATAATGAAAGAGTTCGATGGTATTGAGGTTAGATAGATTGCCAAAAAAAAAAAAAAATTAATGTAAAAGAGTGAATGTCTGTAAGAGGATTGCGAGATCGGGAATGTTTTAATAACAGAATAAGACGAGAGATAATTATCGGATTCGGAATGCAATAATTGTTAATGAAATTTTACTTAACTAAAATAATAAATAATTATTACTTTATGACTATATGACCGTAAGCAATAAGTTGGTACAGTAGAGCTAAAATTGCATTAGTACATCTGTAATGGTCGATCGGTTTCCCATTTTATCGAAGATTGACATCGCAGGATAAGCTGTTAATTGTAATGAAATCATAACTCATCAATTGATGTCAAATCCAAAAGCGGGCCGAAATTGAATCTCGTCAACCTCCAAAGCGTTTGGGAGTCAACCCTAAGTCGTTTACCATATCTAGGACGGGGAGTTTGATTGGTTCTCGGTTAGAGGAACAGAAATTAATAGGATTAGTTTGATTATTTATGTCTCTGCGTTCGTTTGCCGTTATCGTGGGCAGCACCTGCACCAGCGGTGCCTTCCGATGCCTAAACGTTTGCCAACAACACAAATCACAAGGGGATACTGCAAATCACAGAAAGATTCCACCGATAGGAATAACTGTCCGGGGGTAAAAGCATTCAACTGTAGCAAAAATACAATATGGCCCTGACTATCAGTATTACCGATTTCTAGACGTGGTCAAGATAATTAAGATAAATATAGTTTATAGAAAGCTATGAACTATATTTATCTTGACTATCGTAATTGAAAAATAGCTTTATATAAGTGATAAAAAAAGAGTTCCTATGCTAAATACTAAATTTTTCTCAAATATCATCAATATACATTTGTGAAATTATTTATGAGTTAAACAAATGTATATACTAGTCCATTGGTGAATGGCTTCATCTTATCTTAACCTACAATTTTTTAAACTACGAAAATGTTTCAGAAATGGGGCATTTTCTCATTAAGTTAATATAATTCAATAGAAAAGTTATCACTGGAAGTAAGGTCTTATCTTGCAGCGTCTTAGGAATATTTAAATAGTTTAGTCAGGTAGTCAACGGCGAGAACACCACCTGGATCTGGGGAGGAAATACAAGCAATAAAAGGAAATTAAGTTTGCTTGTAAAATAATGATACTGAACTAGATTAAATTAAATTTTATATTTTTGACGTGAGCATAATTTATGACATCTAGTTATAATTTTATGTTATTTATTTGAAACACGGGCTAAAAAATCGAATATTTCTATTTTTAATATTCGTCTTAAGTTGCTGTAAATTTGGGACAAGTTGTCCAAATCAAAACCATTAGGAAATATTAATAAAGGAATTCATTAATGTGATGTTAGAAATTATATTAAATAATATCGAAAAAATAAAATAAAATTATTTATAAAATAATAAACATCTTAAACATATTCATATTTTTGTAAAATATTTACAAGCCCAGGAAACTCCAAATCCACAGACCTATTTTTATCAAATTGTTAAAAACCGTTTAAAACTTCTTAAATGGATTCATCTTATCGTAATCTACAAATTTGTTATTTACGAAAATTTTCAGAAAATGGAGTGTTTTCTCATTAAGTTTATTAATTTAATGAAGTACTAAGAACTCATAAATACCCAGTTTCTTTCCACTTGAATAGTAAAATAATTTGATCACGAAATGGAAAAAAAGCTGACATACAATATTGGATCGTTTGGTTTATATGATCTCGTTATTTTGACGTTTTGGAGATGGATGTCACGTCAAACGCCCCAATACTTTTGCAGGCCACCTTTATTCTCGATTTTTTGACCAAATTATCTTACAATTCAAGTGGAAAGCAATTTTTTATGCGTTTCCAGTAGTTCATGAGTTTTTAGTACCTAATTAAATAAAGAAAGTTTGCCGAAAGTTGCCGTTTAATCCAGGTTGAAAACGCCCCAATCCCGAGAATTTTCGTTAGTAAAAAAGTTGTAGGATACGATGAGATAAAGCAATTCACTAAATTCAGTGGGATGTTAATAAAATGATAAAAATGGGTCTGTACCAAGAACTGTACCCATATGAACTTGAAAAGAAAATATTGGAACCGATATTCATCCTAAAAACATCGGGTTAGAGTCATAATTTTGGATGAGCACTGAGATTCTATCCAGAAAGAAATTGAAATATTAAAACCGAAAAAATAGATGGGATGGATTTATCGCTAATGGCTCGGTTCATAATTTATTTCTCGGGAAAAGAAGTGGAAAAAAGAAGAAATAATGAGGAGAAAAGCTTGGACATTTTTAAGGAGGGAACGAAAAGAAAAAAAAAAAGTTTCTAATTAATACCTCCTCCTATATCGATCCGAACTGAGACCAAATCTTTCGCTGATAATTGGGAAAGTGCTTATCCGATTTTCTCATAACCACTCCACCCACGCCGCTTCCTAATACGGTTCAGAGAACTTCAAAACCAGCCATGTTCAAGGGGGAAGAGAAAACACTTGTGGAAATAATGAAAGCAATAAGGAAAAATGGCTTTAGGGTCAGAAATCCTTGGATTCAATTGCTATTTTCATTGTCGCTACAATGGCCCCCTTTGTGAAATGGTCGGCTTTCGGTCTCTCCTTTTGATTCTGATAAATTGTTTATGTTTCTCGCTTCAGCAGAACGAGAGACCATTTAAACGTTTTAATTTCCTGAATGAATTGGAATTAGAGATTTCCAACAGAAGGTAAAATATGCTAGGAAAATCAGTACAATAAATACATCTATTTTCTCAAGTTTATTATATTTTTGTATTGGTAGCCCGGTAAATATTCTCATTCAAGACATCGATACTGCTTTGCACTTCAGAAAAAGAATCTTTTTTGTACTTCGCTACTTCAAATCATTTTTTACTAAAACATAAGATTTTGGTTTAAATTGTTTTTAAATTTCACCGATTGGTTAATTTATTGCATATTATTGGCGTATTTATTGTATATATGATTAGATACTCGCGTGGAAAAACACTGACAAAAAAAAATAATCTTTTGCAGTTATCTGTTACACTTCAGAGTGAGAAACAAAATGTATTTCAATTACTTCAAGAAGTAGGAATGGTGCAAAAGTGAATTGGTGAAAAAACGTGTACCTATTTCTTCTTTTCTTCTCTTTTTGTTAGGAAACTGTTTAAACTACTCAGAAAATTACCTAAATTCATGTAAATATCAAAAGAAAAATATCAAACAATCAATGGTCAATAGCAAACCCTAAGTAGCTAACAGACACCAAATTATATATAATAAAAAATATATAATTATGACAAAGGAGCACACGTGGTATTTTATTTTATATTAGGTAAATATAACAAATATGTAACAACATGAAACCATGACAGATGTTGTAAGATATATTCATTTTAATAAACCTTTTTATAGCTATTAACTACTAATGAAAGCCAGATAGAAATAAAATTCTGAAAATGCGAATTGCATCCCGAAACGTTAACTTAAAATAACATTGTTAAATCAAATACAGAATTTGTTGTTACAAATAGGTTAGGATGGTTTTTTACGAATCTGTTATGTTAATAGTTATAAACTCCAGAAAATTACTCCTATGCAGAAAAAACCTTACCATTATTTATTTATTTATTTTTATTTCTTAATGATATTTAAAACTGTATTAAAGAAATGCATTCAGTATATTTAAATATATGGATATAATGACGTAAAAATTTCTTGAAAAACTATCCAATGGTAGCACTCTAATGATATGCCTACATTAAGAGATCATGGGGCCATCTTCTTTTCAGACGCCTCGGAGGGTCATCAGGAATTGAAGAGGAAGTAATGTTAGAAACGAGAGGGCTGGGATGATACTGAAGTTTATTACGGAATGGTAGGTATCTGGATGGGATCAGATCTGAAACATTAAGTTCATTATGGATGGTTTTATTTGTAACAAAGTAGGGAGCATTGAGGATGTTATGAAGGATTTTGGGTTGTAAGGAATGGATACGAGAGGAATTCGATGGTGTAGTGGAGTTATATAGCTCAACTCTGTAAGCCCAAATAGGCCTTATTATAGTCATGTATATGAGTCTAAGTAATCGAAAACATCGAGTGAATCTGGTATCATTATTTAAAAATAAATCATTACAGATATGGGTCTCTTCTAATTTCTCCACTATTTAAAATTTAAATATCGATTATACAGATTTTATACTTAATAACTATACTGTGTAATAATACATTGACTTTCAACATGCCACACAAACCCTATATTTTAGGAGCAGCTTTAAGAAGGTATAGTACTATAACTGTAACAAGTTACCGAAATGTGTACAAAGGTGACAACAATACATAACTAACAGAAACTGCACGATTGGGACAAGTAGTGTAAACCTTTATTAAGCCATGACAATTCACGAAACTGTGATACTTATCTTAGAACCTCAATTACTTATAAATTTACCATTCTTACAATATTTGAATGATTTTTTGTTGGAGAATAATAAAAGACTGGTCTATACCTGATTTTAGTTCTATTACATGTTAATTTTGAATTGAATGATCTTGAATTTTACATCATCAAGTATTAAAAGTATAGCATTGAATAAATTTGCGAGGAATATAGAATAAAAACATTAATTCTCTTTTTTTTTTTTCTTTTCTTCAGTTCGTGACTCCAAATGTGACTACCCTGCTGCCTGCAATGCAATGGAGACCCTTCTTTTACATGAAGATCACCTTAACAATGGTTTCTTCGTGGAAATCTGCAATATGCTTAGGAAAGAAGGCGTAAGTCTAAGAACCTTTGTCTAACAAATAGGATAAGTCCATTTTAAATAATGTTTATTTGGATTTTTCATGTATGTTTATGAAACCATACCTTGGTTTGTTATATAATATGGAGGAAGAAATACAGAGATGAATACTTCTAGCAAACCGAACATTTTTCGCTCTCCAAAAGCAACTAAAGAGTAGAACATTTCGTAGGCCCACAAAAAATAAGAATTTATAAGGTCAGCGTGACCAGGTTAAGAATAGAACACTTGAGCCTAATCATGTACATCATCACTAAGCAGCCACCACCAAATTGTCAACACTGCAATAGCCTTTTCACAGTCAATCGTCTTTTCCAAGAATGCACTTATTATACTGAAAGTCTAAATCGATTATCCCTAAAACCGGATATGTATGCAGTATTAAGCAAAAACGAATCAAACATAAAAACAGTGATACAATTTCTTGAAATCCATAGTTTAATAAATAAAATATAAAAATAAATATAATTTTTATTTTATTGTTCTTTCTATTTTTTATATTTATTTTAATATATTTCATTTTTTAGATGTTTTTAAATATCTTTTTTCAGTTATTATTCTATCTATTATTAATTTTTTATTATTCATTTTCTTTTTTGTTTTTGTTTTTTTTTTTCATTTCTCCCCTAAAGAGTTTACAAATATAACCGCCTCACAGGTGTTGATGACCCTATGGTTTTATGCCTAAAGCCTAAATAAACAAACAAACAAGAATTTACAAAATGTTTATCCGATCAGTCTTTAATATATGGCTCAGAATGTTGGACAGTGACTATACCACAGGAAAAAGTCCTTATGTTCGAGAAAATAGGAATAGAAAATAGGTTTTTATAATATATGAAAACCAAAGACACCTGCAGGAAAAGGCTTAGTAAATTGTCTTCATAAAGAAACAATTCAGATTTGTTTCTTGCCTCCTTTAAAACTTTTGAACACTCATTTATATAGAATTAAAAATATATATATTTTTGGACTTGATTCATAACTCCATTTTTCTCCCGTTTCTATGTTACTGCAACTGTTGGAAAGCTGGAATATTGCTCTTCCAAACCATTCCAATAACTTTTAGATTTTATGCCTTTTTAAGAAATAACTAAAATTAAATTTTGTCAAACCTTTTTTTATTTTATATCTCTAGTTCTAATTTGTATACGGCAAGTCTGGCTTATGCTGCTTTGTGCAGTGTATGACGCCCTATTTTCCTATTTGTTTTCGAATAGATAGGTGGAGTCGTGTTGAACTTGAAACAGTTGTTGTGATTCTCGAAAAAAAAAAAAAAGCAAATACTTCACTCTTAGGAAAACATTTGAGCAAAAAATTTGATGACTTATATACCGTGAGATAGAGTAACTTTGGGACTGGGTGGGTATTTACTACGGTACTACCTTGCGGCAGTTTGAGAATCCTAGTTCACTACACTCGTTGTGCAATTAGGTTTTATTTATTTCCGTTGTTTTTGTTCAAAATTCTTGCTTTTATGAAAACTTTCGCTTATGCCTCGAGAGTAGTGTGCCGCAAGGTTGTAGCGCAGCCTGTTTTGCAGACTGAACCTACACAGCGTATCCACCAAAATGAAATTTTATTCTCTGTCCCAAAGTTACCCCATCTTACGGTAATTTTTATTCTTTTACCGTTATTCGATCATAATAATTTCAATTATTTTTCTTATTCCTATTATAATTTTAAAACTACGATGAGAATATGCATTTTTCTTTGAACACAGGTTACTATCTACTCCGGACCCCACCTGGCCGAGAAGTTGACCTTCGGACCACCTCACGCCAAGTCCCTCAAGACAGAATATGGAGCTCTCGAGTGCGCTGTAGAGATTGTCAGAGATGTCCAAGAGGCAGTGGACCATATCGCACAGTATGGCTCCGGACACACTGATGTCATCGTCACCGAAAACGGTGAGTATTCACAAATCTACAAAGTTTAAATACAATTTATTTCCTAGAACATTGTAGTAATATATTTATTCTTGATTATAAGAATCAAGGGGAGAGAGGTAACTCAGTGGAAGGGTAATGTGCTTCCAATGGAAAAGGTCCTAGGTTCGAATCCCGGCTTATGGCAGAAAATGTATTTATTCTGTTTCATTGGCCGTGGGGGGGAGATGGGGAAGACTGGGTCGGGAGACCCTCCTGGGACAAAGTGGGTAGAGTGGGTACCCTTAATTAAATAATTGATTATAAATAAAAAAAGGAGAAAAACCTGGTGGTTGGGCGTGATCTCGGTCAAATCACCTCCTTTCACAACGTTAGCCTAGAAACAGTTCTTTCCCTAAGTAGTACTGACCCTTCATTGGTTGTAGTGGTACAGGGGCTTTTTTTTTTTTTTTTTTTGTAAGAATCATTAAACTGTTTTTTTACCCTTAGATACAAAAAAAAGATATTGGTGGGAAGGGTGAAGATTAATATAATATGATCAGTGTTTCATGCATTAGAGGAAGAAATGGAGATAGAATCTAAACAGGATAAAGGAGAAGCTTAGTAATAGGTTTGTTACCTGTTATATATTAAATAACTATTAACTATACGGTTTTGACATCTCTCCCCTTACACCATTATATAATATTAGGAAAGGGGAGAGCTAGTATCAACGCTAAATGCGACAATTTTAATTTATGAAGATAGAAAAAAGTAATAACTGATTTTAAATAACCATTGACTGAAAATATTCTAATTAAAACAATCTAAAAGTATAATAATTTTAGAACTGTTTTAGAATTTTGACGAAACAATTACTCAGGCTCCCTTAATAGTATATTATTATTGTATTATTCAGTGTAAAAGAACTGTTTATCTTGTTTTGAGATCCTTAATTCATATTTTCAGTTAGGATACTTAAACCTCAAAAACCCTTTATATAAGGTACATACGAAGTTTATGTTTATATATTATTTTCTATGATATATAAAATGAGATAACTTGGTGAAGGAACACGACCAGACTTGCTGTGGCTTTGATCCTTGTAGTGCTTAACCCAGTTACACTGACTAACACCCACGCCCCTGTACTATCGTCCCACACAGTTTGATCCTTTTAATATTTATGCCCGATGGTATTAGCTAGTAATAATTATCGTTAAATATGAGTTCGATAAACAACTCTGGCATTACACCACCATATATCAACAAAAGGGATATCATAAAACTGATACGTGATATGATTAAGTTGCTCTAAAAAGTGTTATGCCTTATAAAAATCAAGTGTCCAATACTAAATCAAACATCTAAAAATCAAGTGTCCAATACTAAATCAAACATCAAGTTATATACATCGCTTCACTTTTATACATCATGTACACAAACGACATGACATATCCACCAGCGCTCAACTATTACAGTGACTTACGTAGACGAAACAAAAATTTGACAAGTTATAAAAATTCAATATACGCCTCACAGACTTTACAATATCCTCTAAACAAATTTCACTACTGGTTCAAACTCTGGGAAATTTCACTAAGCACTATATATCACTTTTATCCTTCGAAATGAAAAATGCCCTCCTATTTACGTTGTCAATGCCGAAATTTCACAAACAGATAAAATACCATATCTTGAACTGACATTCGATAGAAGAATAACATGGTGCCTAAATATCAACAAAAAGAGAAAACAACTATTATGCCAACTTCTTTCAAGACGCTCAAAATTAAAATTAAAACGGAAACTGAACACTTCTTTCTATCCACTAAAACCTAAATGGACCTACGCTTTTCAAATTTACGGAACAGCCAAAACAACTCAAGTACGAAAACTACAAACATTTCAGATCTAGGGTAGGAAACAAACATTACATCACATAACGATCTAATCATGCCAACAGTAAACGACCATATACGGTCCTCCTACAAATAGTTCACGATAACTTACATGGACATACTAATTGATACAAGACATGGCCACGATTAAGATGCCCGAAAACACGCTTTGGAGGCTCAAAAAAATCTGGATGGGGAATTTCCTTAATTAAAAATATACTAAAATCAAGTCATGAAGGGATGCCGCTGGACACTCGATTCCCTAACGCCGATCAAGCCAATATCAGTATTTTTCCCAACAGCACTCGCGTAATTGTCAGTACTTCTGACAGGTGTGGGCAAAGAAATAAAGTAAAAAAAAAAACTAAAATAAAACTTATTTACCACTTGTTTGGTCGGCAAGAGGCTGTAGTTTTTCGCCACAAGAAAACACCGAAGTACCAGAGGCCCATTAAGAGAGAGAAGGTTAAAAAGTTTCTTAGGCCAAGTTGGTCGGTTCTGTTCTGGAGAGGAGAGGGTTATTCAATTTGATTTATGTTCAACATTAGAGCTTTTGGGGCTAAATTCTGAAAAACTACTTGAGTTTATTTATCTGGTGTATATTGGAGTGCAGTGCGGTAAAAGTTGTGCTTCGCTTGTCCTGAGCTTTGTCTCTATTTATTTTAAAATGATTTATTTTATTTTTATCGGTCTTATATCGCCTCTTATCGTTATTTTAGAGAGAATACAATAAAAACAATGAGAACAATCTGAACAACTTATTTATTTATTGATTAGCATTTCCCCAATGTGCACAAATAAAATCGATTAAATAAAAGGAAAAACATCATAATTAGAAAAGTTTTCTTGTGGGTTATTTTTTTTCCACTGTGACAGGGGCGTATAAAGATATAATAATAAATTAATTTATTGAAAAATATTATAAATGTCTATTAACATATATTGTGAATGTCGTCTTGGCGATCTTCTCCTTCGAGATTAACCTGTATACTTAACTTAGAGAATCCTACAAATTATGGAGAAATCTTCCAATAAAGGCATTTCTAACGTTACGTTCTTCTTAATAAAACAGACCCCACCTCCATGTTAAGTATTATTATACAAAGTCTTTTTGTCGGATTCTGTGGTAATGTGTCTGTTGTTAATGTTTTAAACGAGCGGATTACAATGTCCAACAAGTGAGTCTAACAAGTTACAATGAGTGTTACATCGGAGAAAATTTTTTTTTGGTTTATTTTTTTTTTTTTATTCCCACCTGTCATAATGGTAATGACAACCAGTGAATGTGAGGTTGATTGCAAAAAAATAATGTCATGAAATTCATTACGAGGATCAGTGTCCAGCGACACCTCACTCGGCGTGATATCTACGTTAGGCGAGGAGGTCTCTCATCCAGCTCCTCTTCAGTCTCCTACAGACGTTACCTGGCATATTCGTAGTGGCCATGTCATTTATAAGTGCATTAGGATGTACTTGTAAGTTGTCATGGAATCGTTTGTAATGAGTTCGTATGTGTTCGTTAACAGTCGGCATATGGAGGTCAGTATGTAAGGTTATGTTGCTAACGTACCAAATTTAGATTGGAAGATTTTATTAGGCCGTAAGTGTGATATTTTGTATGACATGAAGACGAAAAAAAAGTTGTTTGCTTATGTATAGCTTGTTGTGCGGAAAGGTATAACTGCCGCGCCTGCTTCTTTATAGGAATTACTTGAACAAAGTTTCTCTTACAGATAGCTTTGCTCATAGCTAAATGATAGTATGTTATTATTATTAAATGTTCTTCTTCATAAAAAAAAACAAGAATACAAGCTGAATTACAGAGATTAGCATAAAAAAATAATGCACTAAAAATAAAGTTCAAAAATCTAAAGCTAATCAATTTTATTTTAATTGAGAGTAGATTTATTTTATTTTTTTAAAATCAAAATATCAATGTCAGATTTTAATGAAACTTACATTATGTCTAACTTATCTTCACAATTGATGGTGAGTACATTCGTATTTACCACAATAACCATAGATTATTTTTATGAAGAGAACTCTTTTAGACACATTACATAGGTCCTTTGTTCTTATACCGTTTTAATATCTTCCTCATCAGTCCAAGAGTGTCATATTTTTATTTCGTTTAATTAATTACATTAAAAATATTAATCATCCTTGGGTACTACTTACAGTATGCAGATCATCGCCTAGACGCGATAACAAAATGTCTGACAATGTTTACATCACTATAAACACACTATAACTCTACTGCTACTATTTATGCTTAGGGGCAGCTGTATTTCGATCTTCAGTGTCATCTATCTAGACTTTTCAATCTAGTTCAGGAATATCGAAATTATGGACGAGTTTTCTTAAATTTAAGCTTTGGTCTGGATTTCGTGCTACCTTTCTTTTTAGATCGTCATAAATCATTTTTGTACTCACTTTTTTCTAAATCGAAATTGAAAGTTCGACAAAAACTAAATAGATACACTTACCTACTCAAACCCATCTGGACATACGCCTCTCAGATTTACTGTTGGGAAAAAAAGATGCACTTACAAAAACTATAGTCATTTCAATCCAAAAAATTTTACCAACACATACGTACTCTCTACTCTCGTTTTCATCTCAAACTACATGTACACACAAACAGATCTATAGCCGACATGGCTACGACTGACATGCCCATCAGGAGGACATTAAAAAGGAGCTAGATGAGAGATCTTCTCACCTAAATCAAAAAAATAAATAATGACCAGGAAGAGGTGCTGCTGGCATCCTTCCTCATGCCTTTAATGGCTATCCTCATGGTCACAACACATCTGCTGGTTGTCAACACCACGACAGGTGCGGATAAATAGTTAAAGACAAAAAAATGTTTATATGAGTTAATTATTATCTTCTTTTTAAAAAAAAAAAAACTATATTTAATACTTTTTCTTCGAACCTTTTGAGAAAGAAGCCGAAGTTTCCCAAACGTTGGGAAACGCGCTAACGGTTGATCAAACCTGGTTGGGAGGTTATGATGGATGTGCCGGCAGAAGCTGTAATTTGTGCCGCTCCGGGGGAAATTGCACAGGTTGGGCCATTGTCTAAGGCTCTCTGATCTATGTTCCTGCCACCACCCCTCCGATGTGAGGATTTTTTCAAACCAATCCAGGATACGTTAGGATCTCCTGT